CCCCCCGCGCGCGCGCGGGATCCCACGCACGTCCCAGCGCCCCTCCCCCACCACCGGGCTGGAACGGACCAGTTCGGACCAGTTTGGACCAGTTCAAACCAGTTTGGACAAGCACAAACCAGTTCAGACTGGTTTGGACCAGTTCAGACCACTTTGGACCAGTTTGGACCAGTTCGGACCAGTTTGGACCAGTTCAAACCAGTTTGGACCAGTTCAAACCAGTTTGGACCAGTTCGGACCAGTTCAAATCAGTTTGGAGAAACACAAACCAGTTCACACTGGTTTGGACCAGTTTGGACCAGTTCAAACCAGTTTGGACAAGCACAAACCAGTCCAGACCAGTTTGGACCACTTCGGACAAGCACAGACCAGTCGAGACCAGTTCAAACCAGTTTGGACAAACACCGACCAGTTTGGACCAGTTCGGACAAGCACGGACCAGTCCAGACCAGTTCGGACCTGTTCGGACCAGTTTGTACAAGCACAAACCGGTCCAGACCAGTCCAGACCAGTTTGGACCAATTTGGACAAGCACAAAGCAGTTCGGACCAGTTCAAACCAGTTCGGACAAGCACAGACCAGTCCAGACCAGTCCAGACCAGTTTGGACAAGCACAGACCGGTTTGGACCAGTCTGGACCGGTTCGGGCCGGTTCAGGGCAGAGGGAATGGGTCCTGAGCACCCCCAGTGCATCCCAGTTCAATCCCAGTTCCATCCCAGTTCCATCCCAGTTCCATCCCAGTTCAATCCCAGTTCCATCCCAGCTCGGCCCAGTACAGACCAGTACAGACCGGTCATCCCCAGTAAAGCCGTGGGGAAATCCCAGTTCGATCCCAGTTCCATCCCAGTGGTTCCCAGTCCATCCCAGTCCATCCCAGTCCATCCCAGTCCATCCCAGTCCATCCCAATCCCTCCCAGTTCCATCCCAGTCCATCCCAGTCCATCCCAGTCCATCCCAGTCCATCCCAGTTTCATCCCAGTTCATCCCAGTCCATCCCAATCCCTCCCAGTCCATCCCAGTTTCATCCCAGTTCATCCCAGTTCATCCCAGTCCCTCCCAGTCCATCCCAGTTTCATCCCAGTCCATCCCAGTCCATCCCAGTCCATCCCAGTCCATCCCAGTCCATCCCAGTCCATCCCAATCCCTCCCAGTTCCATCCCAGTCCATCCCAGTCCCTCCCAGTTCCATCCCAGTCCCCCTTTCCAGCCCCAAATTTCCGTGGAATTTTCGTTTTTTTTTTTTTTCTCAGATTTTTTTTTTTATGTTTTTTTGTTTTTTTTTTCTCGCTTTTTTTTTTGTTTGTTTTTTTTACTTAAAAACGCCCGCGGGGCCGCCCCTCCCCCCGCCCCTCCCCCCCCCGCGGGGGTCCCGCCCGCCCCTCCCCCCCCGCGGCCCCCCCGGGAATAAAAATAGATGCTCTCGCGTGGGGGAGGGGCGGGGGGCGATGGGGGGGGGGGGGCGTCTCCATGGCAACCGGGGACATCTCCATGGCAACCGGGGACATCCTCACAGTGACATCGCCGTGGCGACCGGTGACGTCATACGGTGGCATCGCCGTGGCGACCGGTGACGTCGTAGCGTGACGTCACCGCGGTAAAATCGATGACGTCACAAGGCGACCGATGACGTCACGGGACTGATAGCGCAATTTCGAATGGTGACGTCAGAGGGGGGGGGTGACGTCACCATGGCAACAGGTGACGTCACATGGTGACGTCGCTGCGTCGGTCGATGACGTCACAGGGCCGATATCGCCGCGGCGAGCGGTGACGTCACCGCGGCGACCTTAATGCCGGTGATGTCATCGCGATGACGTCATCGCGACCTCCCGCCTTCCCCCGTCTCCATGGCGACGCTCCGGGGGTCAAAGGTCAAGGCCTTTGGGGGGGGAGGGGCGGTCCCCGGGGTGGGGGAGGGGCAGCGGGAGGGGGGGAGGGGCCGGGACCCCCCCTCCCCCCACGTTTGGCACAAATTTCTTTGTACAGAAAGCGGCGAAAAAACCGAAAATCGGGAAAAATAAACCGGGGGGGAACACGGGGGTGGGGGGAGGGGATGGGACCCCCCCCCGGAATTCCCAGGATTTGCCGGATTTTGCCGGATTTGGCCTCGTTTTGGTCCGGCCGGTCGGGATCATGCAACGGCGATTTCGGGGGGGAGGGGGGATGGGGGGGGTTTGTCCCCAAAATCCCCCCCCTGGCGGGGCAGCCCCTCCCCCACGCCCCTTTCGGGGGGTCCTGAGGGGGAGGGGGAGGGTCTCCGGTGTTGGGGGAGGGGCGACCCCCCCCTAATTGGGGGTTCCCTCGGGGGGGGTTTCCCCTGATACTGCGGGGGGAGGGGTCTCCCCTAATCGGGGGTTCCCCCGCTATTGGGGGAGGGGGAGGGGAGGGGGGGAGGGGGTGTTCCCGGCGCCCCTCCCCCCCCCTATACGCGGGTGGTGGAGTGGGGGTGGGGCAGGGCGCTGTTGTGGCCGGGGGGGGGGGAGGGGGGCCCGAAGGGGGGCAGGG